CTTTCTTTCTTTCTTTCTTTCTTTCTTTCTTTCTTTCTTTCTTTCTTCTTTTCTTTTTAGATTGGTCCTACTATGTAGACCAGGCTGGCCTCAAACTTGTGACCTTTTTGCTTCAGCCTCTGAAGCATTGAGGTTACAGCTATATACGTTATGCCTACTTGCCTCCAGAGGAAAGCCTCAAGGCAAAAACAATACCACAGAGGCACTGGTGAGGAATGTGGAAATATGGCGAGTCCTCAAGGGGTAGTTGGAGGGGAGAGTCAAATAGAAACAGAACTCCGTAAACAGGAAAGGGGTTGTTTCCAAGCCTGATTGCTGGCATTGTCCACCTCTTCTGGAGAACTGGCCTCTCTGCCCTGGGACCTCCCTCTGACTCCCATAACAACCTCTGTATCAGAGGGAACACATTTTATTTATCTCATTTGATATTGTAAGAAGAGTCCATTTTAATGCCCGACTAAGTAGATTTGGAAGAGATGATTTATTGAGGAGAAACAGCTAAGAGATGTAAAGTGTGTGGCAGTAAATTGGGAGATGTTTTTAATCCTAGCCCTGCCAAAGCCCTCCAGCATCTCACTAATTCAGCAGGCTGTTTAGGGTCAAACACTGTGATTCATGATGAGGGCTAAGGAAGGACCGTCAACTGGATTCAGAGTGGTGAGTATGGGTCACATCATAGAAATGTAATAATATGTAATAATACATATTACACCATGGGGCAATAAGGTGGAAGCCTAAGGGGAGAAATACAACGTTTACCTGAAGCCAAAAAGAAAAGCAGAAGAGGTGAAATTTGTTGTGGTAATTATTTAAAACTGGCCTCTGGTTCGTCTGACTGTCTAAGGTGCAGCAGCTCTGCCTAGCTCAGCTGCCATGTTTCTCGGCTGGAGGCCACGTGTGCACAGCAGCTAGAACTGGCCCGCCAGAAACACCAGCCCTGCCACTCACAAGACGCCAGTGTGAGAGATGGCTCTGCCAATCTTCCATGCTGTCTCTGCAAGGCTGGGCACTGCCCAGACTATCCTGCCATCCATGCAGGCCCAGTAAGAGAATGAGACTCTAATTCTTATAGATTAATCAAAGGCTTTATATGTTTGGTAATGATTAATAACAAGATGCCCATACAAAGAGAGTTGTATCCCAATTAGCTAACCTAATTACAAGTTGTTCCCCATGACTGCTCTCCATACCTGTGTGGTTCTCCATCCTCCTACATCTCTGCCTGCTCTAGCTCCTCCTCTTCCTTTTTTCTCTTCCTCTCCCAACTCCTCCTCTTCCTCTCCTTACTCCTCCCACCTTAGCTCCTCCTACAGAAATTTACCAGGGTTGAAGGGGAGGATCACCAACATAGTAGGAAGGCCACAAAGGTAAGGCAAGAAAGTGGCCAGGCATGGTGGTGCATGCTTGTGATTCCAGTACTTGAGAGGTGCAGGCGGACTTCCAGGCCAGCCCCAGCTACGCTGTAAGATCTTGAGTAACAAAAACATATGAACAAAGAAGTAGGTGTTCTATCAGGAAGAAAGCAAATGTGGTGGGCCCTGAGACTGAGACTACAGGAGGCTCCAGATCACAAGAAGGCATCTCATTTTTCATGGCCCATGGCAGGACCTCCAGTACCCTTTCATGTGATGTTTTATGTGAGCTTTTAAAAAAACAACTCTTGTATTTCATTCATTTTTTCAAAATAGGAGTAAACTGGGTGACCTCTAAGGTCCCCTCTGTTTCAGGTATGTTGGGATCCCAAATCTTTTAACATCCAGAATCTTATATATTTTTTTTAAGATTTATTTATTGTATGTGTATGAGTACACTATCGCTGTCTTTAGACACAACAGAAGAGGGCATCAGACCCATTACAGAAGGCTGTGAGTCACCATGTTGTTGCTGGGAATTGAACTCAGGATTTCTGGAAGATCAGTCAGTCCTCTTAATCACTGAGCCATTTCTCTGACATCCAGAATCTTTTAGAAGAGAGTGCTTTCTTGTTTTGGCATTGTTTTTACTTTTAAGTGAAAAATGGAAAGCACTGAAAACACTTTTTCCCATAAAATAAAATCAGGCAGAAAATAACCTTGTTCTTGGCATGTGCTCATCTTATTTGCAGGAATAAGTTTAGGATCAGACTCCACCCAGTGAGTGATACTAACCTGGTGCTCACTTCCACCCCCTAGAGCTTGTAAATCAAAAGGAAGTGGCCGCATGGACCTATAACTACAGCACAAAGGCATACTCGTGGAATAACTCACGGGCATTCTGCAGGAGGTACTTCACAGACTTAGTGGCCATCCAGAATAAGAATGAAATTGCTCACCTCAATGACGTCATCCCATTCTTCAACTCTTACTACTGGATTGGTATCCGAAAGATCAACAATAAGTGGACCTGGGTGGGAACCAATAAGACTCTCACGGAGGAGGCTGAGAACTGGGCCGACAATGAGCCCAACAACAAGAGGAACAACCAGGACTGTGTGGAGATCTACATCAAGAGTAATTCGGCCCCTGGCAAGTGGAATGATGAACCCTGTTTAAAACGAAAGCGGGCTCTGTGCTACACAGGTGAGACCTCCCCTGAGCTGACACCATCTCTTAAAAACATGCCTTTCCTGGTTGAGGAGTGTAACCACTAAGTCAGGAACATGGGATCTCAGTCAGGCACGAGAAAGTGCAGAACTACTCAGTATTACTGAGAGCCTTGGCCATCCTCCTTATTACTGATGGAACGGTGCTCAGGAAAGGTTACTTTCTTAAGACCTTGAGACTTTCAAAAAATTACAAGATAGAAAATACATTGAGAATTACTGACATAGTGGTGCTATCTCTGTACCTGGCAACAAGGTACAATTTTCCAAAATGCTGGTATGATCCATCCTGAACAACCCATAATTCTACACAGTGACTGACATTTTGCACCTTAAGATGTAAAGAAGTTTCCTGTGGGAAAGACATGTCATGTAGAAAGGAACATTGAAACAAGATATTAAGTTTACTTGCTGACACCACCAAATCTTTTTTTCTAACCATCTTGGAGTAAAAATTCCATCAGGGCATGGATACTTTTGGTTAGAAAACTGTAACCCATTTTACTGGACATGGAAGAGTTCCTCTGGCCACACATCTATTTGTGACTGCATTTGTGGCCCTCTGTCTTCACACAGCTGTGCCCTTGTTTGGAAATACTAAATATGCCATCCAACAGGAGCCTTAGAGCACGTCTATGATGATCTCAGGACTGGAAAGCAGTCTTCTAAATTTTACACTTAGAACTTTTCAGCACCATGATACATTAGCATAAGAAGGCACAAATTGAGAGGAAACTCATCACATCCCTAAGAGACACCATTGTAACAAATAACTACTAGTACTGAATACAAATCGCATCCAGGGTCCCTTTATATAATTCCGTTTGTGTTGCTTGTTTATTTAGTATTAGTCACACTATCAGCTGGGCCCTTCCATTGCTCTTCTCCTTGTGATGCCCTCCACAGGACATAGGCTGACCTCGACATGGCTACTGAGAGGTTGGCATCTGTGTTTCCTTTCCTGTGAATGCCTGTGATTCTGACCTTTCTGTATCCATGCAGCCTCCTGCCAGGACATGTCCTGCAGCAACCAAGGAGAGTGCATTGAGACCATTGGGAGATACACCTGCTCCTGCTACCCCGGCTTCTATGGGCCAGAGTGTGAATACGGTGAGGCTGGAACTTGGGTGGTGTTACTCCAGAGTAATATTGGTCTCATGTGAGAGACGATGACAGAAAGTAAATTGTGATGGACTCTCTCTAGCAAGTAAAGACAAGAGTCCCAATGCCATCTAACAGCCCGTCCTGTACAATTGTCTCAAAACATTTGGGATAAAATCATTTTATCCTTGAAGACAACATTCATTCATGATATTTCAGGGAGTAAAAGAGAAATAGAAAGACAGGAAGCTTTAGGGCTGGAGAGATGGCTCAGCAGCCAAGAGCACTGGCTGCTCTTCCAGAGTACCCAGGTTCAATTCCCAACACCCACATGGCAGCTCTCGCCTGTCTGTAAGGCCAGTTCCAGAAGACCGGACACCTTCACACAGACATGCATGCATGCAAAACACCAGTACATACAAAATAAAAATAAACATTGAAAAAAATTTTAAATGAAAGCCTTAAAGTTAGACTTACCTATTCAAATACAAAATGTTGAATGAATTGAACCATCAAAAAAAAAAAGTGATGATTTTTCTAAGATGCTGACAATACAAAGGCACTGGATTATGATGGAGGGCTGGAGTTAGGAGCCCAAAAGGAGAGAGTAAGGAGAGTTACGGCTCACTGTAAATATAGCAGAGCGGGTCTACAATAAGAAAAAGAACCAACACTTTGTTTCCTACAGTCAAGGAGTGTGGGAAATTTGACATCCCACGGCATGTTCTCATGAACTGCAGCCATCCCCTGGGGGACTTCTCCTTCAACTCACGGTGCACCTTCAGCTGTGCTGAGGGCTATGAGCTGAGCGGACCCAGCGAGCTGCAATGTCTGGCTTCTGGAATCTGGACAAATAACCCCCCTCAGTGTAAAGGTACGTCATTTTTGCTTTTTCCATCCATACTAAATAACTAGAACCTGGGAGGTCATTAATGGGCTTTCCATTAAAAACTTGAGAAATAGGGGCTGAAAAGATGCCCACATGGTTAAGAGCCCTGGTTGCTCTTCCAGAGGATCCAGGTTCAATTCCCAGCACCCACTTGGTGATTCACAGCCATTTGTAACTCCAGCTCCAGGGAATCCGCTGCCCTCTTTTGTCCTCTGCATGTTCCATGCAGTCATGTAGTGTACTGACATACATGTGGGCAAAACACCCATACACATAAGATCTTTTAAAGTACGTTAAAAATTAAACTCGAGAAATAATAAGGATGGAAATTCAAGTTTCCATGATGCTTCTCCTACCTGCATAGAGGTGGTAGTTTTTTTTTTTTTTATCCCTTGGGGAAAATATTGCAAAGGAACTTCTTTCCTTTTGGTACTTGTAAAGCATGGGTGTTTGGATCGCTGAACAGCCATTGAGTTCTACTTAACCAAGAATAACCTTAACTGACACTTTGAGAAAGTATAAATGCCACGGAATCCTAACACATCCAAAGGCTGAATAAAACTTGTCCTAGAGTGAACATCACAGCTCGGTGCCTGTTTTGGCCTCCCCATGCTCAGTCCTGAGCCATCTTGAAGGAGGAAGCTTGACTATAAAACTGCCCAGCAGGAACATTCCAGCCCAGGTCCAGCTGTAGCTCTATTGTGAATGAGGGGCTCACTTAATTTGGCCAGAGATGGAACAATGGAATACCTGGGTTGAGAATAGTTCCAGCTCCAGAGTGTAAACGCAAGTGTAATATACACTGTAATAAACACTGTAATATACAAGATCCTCGCCCCTCACCCCCCAATCTTAGATGTAACATAGATGATACTTGGCCATCTTAGAGAGAAGCCATACTGAATGGTCAAATTTGAATTTTCCTTCCATCACCTTCTGAGCTAGTATGTATAAATCTGGAATGGGGAAATAGTATCAGTCTGTGGAAAAGCAAAGGGCTTATTTTGCTATAATCAAAAAGAAAATAATAATCAATAGAAATATAATCAATAGAAAATTTTACTCTTTCCCTATCTCCCCATCCCCAGATTCAGAACGGCGTCATTCATACATCTCATATAAGAGGGCAAATACATCAATCCATAGACTGTCAGAGACAGACTTATAATGCATCATTCAGATATTTTATATAAGAGGGAAAATGCATCAATGTATAGATACTAAAGGACCTTCTGGGTCAGACTTGTAAGAAGCAAAGCATAAAGAATATCAAGAGCTTGGAGGACTCTTTAAGATTCAGGTCACTCTGAGGTCTGGGAGTCCGTGTCTGGATATCTTCCCAGCTCCATCTAATTTTCATAGGCTGAGCCGTGCTGTTCGCTATGCAAGTGACTTCTGTCCATCTGGATTGTTTTTACATTTCTTTCTTGGTTTTTCTGTTCAGTGGTGCAGTGTCGGAGCCTGGAAGCCCCTCTCCATGGGAGCATGGACTGTATGCACCCATTTGCTGCCTTTGCCTACGACTCCAGCTGTAAGTTTGAGTGCCAGCCTGGATATCGAGTGAGGGGCTCTGACGTACTCCACTGCAATGGCTCTGGTCAGTGGAGTGAACCATTGCCAACCTGTGAAGGTAAGATTACTTTCCACAGCTTTCCATATAACCTAGAAGGAGTCCTGCCATGGTAGAATGATCAGGGATTCTTAATGTCAAGGCCACCTTCTCTAGGACTGTATCTGTTTAACCTCTGGTTGTCATTATATTTCTCATCTACAAAATAGGGCTAAGAATTGTCAGGTCCAATCTAGAATTAAGCACAGGAAATACACACAATGAAATAGCATGTATGCGCAAGATGTGGTATCGCATGGATGTAATCTCAGCACTTGAGAGCCCAAGACAGAGGATTTCTGCAAATTAAATGTCAGCCTGGATGATTGCACCATGAGTTAGAGGCTAGCTTGGGCTAAATAATGATACCCTGTCTAAAACATAAACTAAAATAAAGACAAAGTAAAGAGAGTGAACTTCTGACTCTCATTTTTCTTGGCTATGAAGAAAAAGAAGAGACTAGAGGACATTTGACCCTCATTTGCTCTGATCATGTAAAAACTAGAGGTCAAAGTGGAAGGGTGGTATCTATGTATGCTCTGCAAATCCACAAACCTCTAGAAATGTAATGCCTGTACAGAAGAGTGCCAGGAAACTAGACTTGAACAGAACTAAGATCATTCAGTGTATAGCTGTGTGCAGGAACTCACTTTGAGCTGCACTAACTTGTCAAACAATGTCTAATTAGCATCCTGTGTTCTAGGGACACAGCCCACATGGAATCATCACACAGCACTAGGTCATAGGTCATAGCATGTACAACAAGCCACGCCACTTCATCTGCTTCCTCATAAGCCCACCTTTTCTGTATCTGCTCTTTTAGAATCCAATAGACATTTAATGAGCACTCGGAATTTACCAGAGCACTGGGCTCCAGGATACAGTTCTGAATGGCTACTCCAGCATCAAAGAGACTGGTGTAACAGGGAAGAATTGCATTTGTACATAAACAGCACAGTGCAGGGTCTGGGAGAGCCCACACAAGGAGTCCTTGCCCCTCAGTTAGGGTGGTCAGGGATGCCTTCTGAAGGAAAATAATGTCAAAACTGAGATCTGAAGAAAGGCAGGCAAAGGGGGACACAGGAAGGATAGTTTTCCTTTTTTGACAAAGAAGGATTTGAGGTTTAAGTTATACGGGCAATGTGAGCGGGAAAACAGTAGCATCTTCCAGGAGACTCTTTTAAAAAAAGACTTAGTAGTTGCCGTTTTCCCCTTCAGCCATTGCATGTGAACCTCCGGAGAGCCCCAGCCATGGGACGATGGAGTGCGTCCCATCTACAGGAGCCTTTGAGTACAACAGCAGCTGTACTTTTCACTGTACAGAGGGATTTGTGCTGAAGGGAAATGATGCCATTCAGTGTGCTGACTCAGGGCAGTGGACAGCCCCAGCCCCAGTCTGTGAAGGTACTGTGACACCGAATCATTCCTCCGCCATTCCTCGGCGCCTCTCAGGCACTATGGGCACCTGACTCTACCATTCACTTATCTGTCAGACATTCATTCACAGTGACCCTGGGATATGCTGGGCTCTTTGCCAAGGATCAAACAGTGGGCAAAACAAGTTTCAAGTACAGTGTTCAGGACAGCATAGTGAAGGTGAGAGATGCTTTGGTTCACATGTTGGGAACAGGTTGAGGAGATTGTCACTGAGGAAAAGGATGATGGGTGAGGAACAGCATGAGATGGTAGAAGAGGGGGACAAGGTATAGTTCTCTCGGGTTTTTGTCAACAAGCTTTTAGGCTCTCTGGGTTCTGTGACTTCTATTAAAATGAGACACTAGTAAGAACTTTACCTACTATGTCACCAATAGTTGAGAGTCAATGTGTTTTAAGGCCACTGACTCTGCCATAAACTTTATAAACATAAAGAAGGCCCTGGTAAAAGTTACTTTATAAAGTCTGTGGCCTTATGTGACAACATGACCCTCTTTTAGTATTTTGTGCTTTCAGTGTTTTGCTCTAAAATAGAAACCAAAAGCACAAGGAGATCACTGGGATTGCCTTATTTTACAAAGGATAGGTGTACAGAACCAAATTCCAGAAGTACATGGCAGCATCTTATGCCACCATTTACTGGTACTCTTTAACAACTGCGTGAATCCCTTAATCTGTGTGTACTCTGATTTTGAAATGAGCTGTTGGTTCTCCAGAGCGTTTTAAGTACTTGAAGAGATTTGTGTATACTCAGTTTCAGAGTAGCTTTATTTAAATAATAAAATGTGGAAGAAAGTGAACATCAGCAGATGGATGGATAAAGAAAATCTGGTATTCACATATACTAGAATACTATTCAACTTTAGAAAAGAAATTCCAACATATGCTCCAATATAGATAGACCATAAAAATAATGATGATCCAAAAATCAAGTCATCTAAGATTTTACCTACATATTTTTAAAGCAATGAATTCATGCCTTATGGTGATAAAACAGTGGCGATGATTAAATGTGCTAGTGTGTGTTGTCTAGGACACATAGACATGCTAAGCCCTGAGACATTCTTTAAAAAGATCACAAGGGATTGTACCAGCCACTTTGTCTTCAGACAAGTAAATATCAAATGATCCAGAACAGATAGTTGGGTGTTTTCTTAAGCATCTGGAATCAAAGCCTCAATAACTCCTTTTATAGTCCTTGCTAGTGTTTCTGCACCAATAGTCAAGGTCTACAGTTGCTGCCTCGCCATGAAGCTAGCTCTGGTGTCTGACAGTGCCTCTGCAGATGCTTCTGGGCTGGTAGCCAGAGTTTATTCAGCAGTTCCTGTCATCTCAGACAGTTTGATGCCAAGATGTAGAGAAACCTATTATTCATATTTTAGAGGTGAAAAAATATGAAATAAGTGTGTTTTCTCCATATAGGACTATCTTTTATTTAAGGATTGTAATATAGTGAGAAGGACCAGATAGGACAATGGGAATAAAAATGACCAACATACAATCATATGTGGATGTTTGTATATGTGGGTGTATGTATATATAAAATATCAAATGAGACTTCATTTTGTATGCTAACATTTGTTTTACAAAAAGAAATCACAGTTTGATCAGGATCATAATTTTTATTCTGCTTTTCCATTGAACATTATATAGAGATACATGTCCAAAATCTTTTTCAAATAAAACATATAAAATTTAAGAATCATAAATATTCCTTTCGTGAATCCATAATTTACTTTCAGCTCCATTTATGGTTGTTTTGCTCTTACAATGTCTTGACAAAAATCTCTGGGTTGATTTTTGTTATGTATCTTGACTTTATGCTTTTCAGAGATTCTTGAGTCTGAGGTATAATAGCTTAAAATTTATTGGTACACATTACCACACTCTTCTACCCTGGCTCAGCCAACACTGGTCCAAACATTTTTCCTTGTAAAATCCATCAAACATCATTGGCATTAAATGTCAACTCATTTAACTTCCAAGTTAAACAAGCCCAACTTGTGAATCTTTAAAGACAATGATCAGTGACTGAGTCATCCAAAAAAGCCAAGTAATCTATGATCCTACCTATATATGTTGTTTAAAGCAAATAAAATCATGGAGACAGAGAGTCAAATGGTAGAGGAGAGGAAGAGGAATTAGCGTTAGTGAGGGTGGAGTTCAGCCTGAGACCGTGAAAAGTCCTAGTGATGAGGGCTAGTGAAGATTGTGTGAAGATACAAATGCAAAGGACACTGAACTAGACGAAGGCAGGGCTGAGGTCAAGGTCAACAACATTTCTCTGCGACTGTTTTCTAACTCCCTGCCTTCCTTACCCCTTAGCGTTGCAATGTCAGGAGTTTCCGGTTCCAAGTAAAGCCCAGATGAGCTGCTTGAACCCCTTCGGTACCTTGAAGTACCAGTCAGTCTGCAACTTTTCCTGTGAGGAAGGCTCACTCTTGGTGGGAGCAAGTGTGCTAAGGTGCCTGGCTACTGGACACTGGAGCGGAGCTCCTCCTGAATGTCGAGGTGAGAATGGATTCTCCCCCATTTTTCCTAGCAGTAAGTTGGAGGCAGCATTCTTAAAGGCTGAGGTAGTAACTGGGTAGCGTGTACCCTGAAACTAGCTGAGAAATGAGTGAGTGCTGTCTGTCACTAACTCCTTCCTCCTCTACACTAAGGACCCCAGATACAAATGTTATCAGAGACTAAGAAAATATCATGAATGTCAGGATATTTGGCAATGGTAATAATGTGGCGATCTTTGTACTGTCTTAATCAGAGTCTACATCAGGACTGACAGGCTCCTATCACAAGTGGTACTCACTAAGCACAGTATCCAGAAAGAGGACAGGGAAGAAAAATTAACTCTGAGTGTTTGCTCCAAGACTGATCTGACACATTTTTCTTAGGGGCCATGGCATGTCCTGGAGGAAAGAGAAAGGTAGAATTACAGAATCTAGTAGTAAGCATTCTCTGTGGGACACGGGAGAAACATACTTAGGCTAGAGTGGGGAGCACTGGGAAGAATACATGCTGTGAACTGGATAAAGTGTTCTTGGAAGAAAGCAAGGTGTAGCCTCATTAGGACAATTTATATCTGTGTTAGACTCAGTGTTGAGAAGCCAGTGTGTCCTGTGAGCACCATAGCACCCTGTGTGAGGCAGAGCTGTTCTAGTTGCCTGACTTTAGTTCTTTAGCCAGATTTATGACAAATACTTTTAACAAGACAAGATTTTTATTTATGAAATCTACAGATAGATAAGAAAACAGAGACAGTAAAATATCCTCTTAAATATCAAGCACACAGAGCAAATATTTCTAGCTTTCTAAGATGAAGTGCTTCTGATACATTCTCACGCAATATTTTTGTAACAGCATTTGTATTGTGAGCATTCAGTTTTAACAAGATACTTAATATGTGCAATGTGAAATATTTCTGTATTATTCAACTTTGTATGGGCTTTCAAATATCTGAGTAAAAGCAAGCAGGTCGTGTTTTTCATAGAGAGAAAACCACTTGCTATTACAGGTCACACAAGTGTATACACACACATAAACACACGCGCGTGCGTGTGTGTGTACACACACACCCCATTGTAAAGCCAACAAAACATGTATGAATAACTAATTAATTAATTAACAGCATAATAGGATATCCTTCTTGCCATGCATCAGAACCTAAGTCAAGTTCTGGAGTTGGAGTTGGGAATGAAGAACTGGGTCTGGATAGAAGAGGGTGAGACTTTGGGCTTGGCTCTTGCTCTTGTCCTCACTACACTGAAGTCTATACAGTTTTGAAGAAGAGCTCCAAATTCCTCAGCAGGGTTATCAGAGGGATCAGACCCTTCCAGGAAAGCTATTCATTGCCCCACAGTCCTGCCCGTGGGTGTTCACAGCCAGGGGGTTACCACTCACCCCAGCTTCCTGTGACCTCCCAGTTCCCTTCTGCTTTTAGCCCTTTGTTTACTCTGAGGGAACTTTCTCCTCTTCTTACTGGGTGTGCATCAAGTGAAATACCCGCATGTGGTTGAGGCAGGAAGGTACCACGAGGCCTGAAATCCACAAGCTATTGTGACACTTCCGAGGGAGAGTGTTATCAGATAATTTCCCTTGTCACTGTCCCCACAGCCCTTTACACTCATCCTTGCAAAGTCACAAGAGAGCTGGAAATGACTCCACCATGACTCCACCAAACCAAGGACCCACACCCTTTCCCCTTTGCATTTCCAACTTACAGTCCTCCCCATCACACACACACACACACACACACACACACACACACACACACACACACTGAACACAGGAAGACTTTGCAAGTGGCAGGCAGTATCTCAGTCTCTATACGTTGATTAGGTTGAGAGGTGCATTGCCAAGGAGGGCATGAAGTGAAGGGACAAGAAAGATGCAGACAGCACCTTAAAACATCAAGCTGTTGAATTAGCTGACCTAGGACTGCTGTCCCATTTTCTCTTATTTAAAGCCATATACTGCATAACCAAGACAAGGAGCAGAACTTCGAGACCTTGTTTACATTAGTCCTTCCCTTCCAATTCACCTGGCTTCATTGCTCTGTGAATCGAGAGAGGTCCATCAGTGCTACTGACATTGGCACTGAGAATCTATCCACTCTTGATCTGACTAAGTCATTTTAAGATATTGAGATTCAGAGAGGTTAAGTGACTTGCCCAAAGTCACTAAGTGTCAGCACCAATCCAAGCCAGCCTCCAAGCACCTCACACTTGTGACTATATAGCTGCCAAATAATTGTGAGACCTGACTTCATTTTTACTGGTAATTGACCTTGGCGTGTCATCTATGCCTGGTGCTGAAGGCTGAGCCTTCTGGGAAGGGGTGGAAACTAGCATTTACAAACAACTGATGAAATATGCGTCCACTTTATTCTCTTTTACATTTAATCTTTGAGTGTGACTTAAGTGACTTGCTATGTAGCTAAAGAGTACTATAAGACAAGAATTCCAGTTTTTCACACATTGAAAATAAAGCAGCTAAGGCTGCAAAGGGGTCACCCTGCATAGTGTAAGCTAGGGCATCGACCCAGATTCTCTCACTACTCACTGAGGAAGGGAAAAATTCACCACCATTTTCACCTCTAAGTTCTTGGCATTGTTTGCTAGAAACATCATTAGGTTTGTTTCTCAAGAAGACGTCAAGGGAGCAACTTTCCCTGAGATCTAAGAGCATCCAACACGAAGCACACTACTATCTCTCCAAGTCTCTTTTAAAATCGCTTCTGAAACCCTATGTGGGTGAGATCTCAGAATGACAGTCAACTGTAGGCTGTAGCTGTCACCCAGCTCCCTGCTCCCTGACATCTTAAAGAGAAAAGGCCAGAAATGCAGAAAAAATGACCACCTTTAGCTAAATGCAAGAGAAAGACAGAAAGCAGTCACACACACACACACACACACACACACAGTGGGTTCAAAATGCCATGCTCTAACATAAGCTCCCCCTCCTCCTCTGTCCTCCACACTGCAGCTGTCTCCTGCACCCCTTTGCTCAGCCCTGAGAATGGATCGATGACCTGTATCCAGCCTCTTGGGGATTCCACCTACAAATCCACTTGCCAGTTCATGTGTGATGATGGATTTTCTCTATCTGGACCAGAAAGATTGGATTGTTCTCCATCTGGACACTGGATGGGCACCCCTCCCACATGTGAAGGTAGGCAAATGGGTCTGTTCTTTCTTGTGACTTCTCAGATACCAGCAGAGAGGAAAGAGTCACCAGAGATGAAGATGTGCCTGAGTAAACAACAGGCGTGAAGACCTAGACCAAGGGTCTCTTTCTTTCTGAATAGCCTTTTTAAAAATTGTCTAAAGCACTCCACACTTAACAATGCTTTCACGTCATCACAGGACATGAGATCAGCTTTCTAGAATAACAAGGGAAGACAGCAGTATCCCCAGGCTACAGATGAGAAAGAAACACAGGCTCCGGGGTGAGATGGTCTGAGGGCATCACCATTCACAATGACACTCAGCTATGCGCTGAAGCACTTAGTTTCTTCTAAGCACTCTTGCTCTTTTCTACCATCCTCTCCATCCGTCCGTTTCTACACCAACCTTCACCCACCCCGCTACGTCTCAGAGTAGTAGCTTATTTGAGAATGGATGTTATCTAACCTTCCCTGCCTCTCACTTTTCTTCCTACTTCTTTATGGGCTTTACACTCAATGAGAGCAGAAGCTGTGCCTCCTCCATCATGTGTGTGTATGTGCATATGCGTGTGTGTGCATGTGTTCATATGTGTGTATAATATATGTGTACATGCATGTGTGCACATGGATGCATGTGTATATAATATATGTGCTTGCCTGTGTAGTTTATGTATATGCATGCATGCGTACGTGTGTATAATATGTGTGCATGCCTGTATAGTGTGTGTGTGTGTGTGTGTGTATGCAGGAGTTGTATGAATATGTTTGCAAAAGTATGATGTTAGGGGTCTTCCATCACTGCTTCTGACATTACCCTTAAGTAACATGGTCTCTCACTGGACCCAGCACTCACACCAGTTAGTTATTCTGACTAGCCAGCAAGCCCCAGGTATCTACCAATCTAAACACCCTCAGAGCTAGGATTACAGACGTGTGTGATCATGTCTGTCTTTTTACACGGGACCCAGAGATCTGATCTAGGTTCTCGTGCTTGCCTGGTAGGTACTTTACCCCCAGAACCATCTCCTCAATCCCTCCTCGATCTTTATGTAGCCTGCAGTAGTGAATGGAATCCAGATGAGTGTGTAACAAGCACCAGTTGAGCTGAAGCTAATCGGTTCCTGGTAACACTCACTCAAGTGCAACATGCTGACAGTGTGAACTGGTGGAACTCTCCAAAACAGGGTGGGCCTCCCCTGTCTTTAGCTTCCTGGTAGCTCCTTGCAGGCACAATGTATCGCATATGCTACAAATATATAGTATGCTCTAAAACAGAAGTGCACTGTGTTAGTTAATTTATAGTTCCCATTTGGTTTCATAGGGGTCTCTGTCCCTAGTTATCGCTCAATGAAGTCAGGGTGAGTAATAGTGAGAGCAGCAATTCACACAGATTTCTGTATTCAGTCTACACAAACCACCTCTAAAGAAGCTACTGTTATCTCCTTCTGAAAGATGAAGAAAATGGGGCATTAAGAGAAATAGGCACATTGCAAGATGGGCAGAATGGCTGAATACAGGGTGTTTCCAACAAACTACACTGCCACCTAGTGGGAGGGCTTCTAAATCCTGGATCCACGCACAGACGGCGGGGTAAATTCTGAAACAGGCCTTAGAAATGTGACTGGTGATCAGATGAGAGACTATGCCTTTAAAAATATGTTAAAATTGTGGGGAAGACAGCTAAAATATTATTCATTCACCCCTACATTGATATCTCAAGATGCTATACTAAAGGGCACAAACACTACCACCTGCTGTCAAAAAGATATACAAGCCTCAAGCAGCCCAGGCCATGTGAGGAGAGTTTATACCTGTGTTTGCTGCTTGTTTCTTTATCTCTCACCCTTTATTTCATCTATCCTAGTAACATGTTCATTCTCTATATTCTCCAGATTCTCCAGAAGGGCGAAAAAAAAACAAATTTCATTTATATATTCCATTAAACTTTTAAATCTTTTATGTAGCCAATTTGGTTGCTAAACCTGTGGTCTCCCAGGTCACTTCTCTTCCCTCTCTCCCAGTCTCCTTTTCTCCTCAGGAGGAAGAAAGTGCCTCCTCCTCCCTGTGAGCCCAGAATCCCCCCAGGGCAGCACCTCTCACACACGGTCCTCAGTACTGTCAAGCTTCTCTGAGTCTAATTTTAAAGATATTTATATTTCTGGTCTTGCTTCATTATCTACATTTATATGGCACATTTAGGGAAGTAATTCCTTCTCGTTTTCCAACCAATCTTTAACATTTTGACCCTCATCTCTGCCTAGGCATCCTGGTTATCATACAATATTTTTTCAGAAGAGACCCAGCTTCCCTTTTCACGGTGCAGCAGGGTTTCCATTTGACGTGTGAGGGCTGTGTTTTTACAAGTATTTCCATTGTGGTAATAGCACTGCTTCTCTGAGCCCCTTGGGACTTGGTATGTGCCTATGTTGTCCTGTCTCCTCTTGCCCTTACCCTTCAGAGGACAGGAAATCTTCCCCATCAGCCTAGCAATGACTTAGATACGTCTCACTTTCATGGTGCCGTCTGTGAGCTGGGTTGCAGTGTCTGTCCTGTCCTCACCTGTAGATCACTTCCCTGACACATACCATTGCTGTCCTCATTGTTGACAAGGTTCCTCACTCACTGTTCCTCTGGAGATCATGTCTGGCCACTGAGTTCAGACCCTGATGGCCTGCTTAATCTTCTTAGGAAACAGAGATCTCCAGATCCATCCTTCTACTTCGTCTGCTTCTCCAAATCCAGGTTCTGAAATACTGGGAACATGTGTCCCGGAACCCTGGGATGGCTCTCGCCTCTATTTTCCTTCATTACTTTGATTATTTTAATGGATTAACGCAAGGGTCTGTAAAACACCCACACACAGCCTGTTACTACAAACTCCTGAGCCAATATCCCAGTTTTCGTGAGGCAGCGCATAAAAGTTAAAGGGTCTTAAGAATCAAAGTGTCTAAGCAAGATGAACTTGACATTGCCTTCGGGATGACACTGGATTTGAAGAAACAACAGCCACTAGGTTATTAATACTTACTGAGTCATGGTATTCATATGTCAGATAATCTAATGATGAAAAGATATGAATCTAAGCAACATCTGTATCTTCATCCATTTACTGGCGTGATTTAAGGGGACACTGTCATGAGCCAATTAGAAACTCATTTGTTCAGCTCTCTGACATGTGCTTGCTGAATGCCATCTCCACCCTCTGAGATCCCTATAATGGGAGTCATGTAGACAAAGTGAGTGGTAGGGGTTTTAGAAGCTTTACATATGGCAGGTTACATGCGGTAAGTTAGTGGAGATGCAGCATGTGACATGATATTGTATGAGTTCCAACAATAAGTCAATGAACTCAGGGAAAGCCATTCAGCCTGTGGCGACTGCCAACAGCCTCAGAGAGGGTGCACTGGGTTTGCTCCTGGAGAAATGGGTGGGATTTAGAAATCAGAAATGGAAAGAAACAGGGCATTGTGAGCCAAGAGTCAGAGCAAATACAGAATCTGCTTAAAATGCCCAAGATACAGTCAGTAGTCAATAACTGTTTGTCAACTATTGAATGAATAAACTTTGTGAAATACAGAGTGTCTGAGAGAGCATTAATATTGGGACTTTCTCATTTGATACTCCAGCCATCAAGTGTCCAGGAATCTTCGCCCCAGAGCAAGGCAGCCTGGATTGTTCTCATGTTCATGGAGAATTCAGTGTTGGCTCTATCTGTCACTTCTCCTGCAATGAGGACTTTGAGCTACTGGGGTCTACAAATGTGGAATGCACAGTTTCTGGAAGATGGTCGGCACCTCCACCAACCTGCAAAGGTAATGACGTGCCAGGGAAGTTGTGCTTGGAGGTAATTTTCCACCAAGATAACACAAAAGCTCCTTTATTCGGGAAGTACGTATTACACTATTAATGCAGTCAACACATTTGTAGGTTTTAGGATCTTTGAAGATGTGACATTTCTGTTCAGGAATAAAAGATGCTCCGATTTTTATGAAGAAAAAATTTTCATGTCTTTTAAGCCTATTTATCTCAAAGATCTCTATCGAACAGAGTGGTACTTTGTACATCATTGTTGAGAAGACTGGGTGGCAGTTATGGGACCAACTGCTTCAAACAAAGAATCAAGACGCAGAGAGATGTATCTTATCACATTGCACTTTTGTGGCCAAGCAGGGACATCGCTTCTATTTCATCTTTCATATGGACCTTGAGCCACGGAATAATAAATCTCCCAACAAAGCTGGGGAGCACCAGCCTTTGTCTGCATTTACTGTGGCTTTCTGTTGAGTTGCTAGATCTCTGGGGCAGCTCTCCTGCTGACACCTTTTAAAGACTATTAGTAATGTGGACTCTGACTGCTTCTCCTTATAGCCAGGACAATGGTTTTTTTTGTGGGCACTTTTTAATACTATTTTTTATTTGCATGTGGTGTGTGCACACATTTGTGAGCAGGCATGAGTCCCTGTGTGCATACATGCAGAGGCCAGAGGAAGCCAGCCGGTGTCTTCCTTTGTTACTCACTCCCTACCTTATTTTCTGAGACAAGGTTTCTCACTGAGTCAGAAGCTCACATTTTTGGCTAGGATGATTGGCCATCAAGTTCCCAGGCTCTAGCTGTTTCTGCCTGCCAACATTGGAGTTTTAGGTACACACTTGGTCATCCTTGGCTTCTATATGTATGCTGTGCATTGAACTGAGGCCCTCTTGCTTTCAAAACAAGTGCTATCACCCAGCAAGACATCTCTCCAGCCCTTAAATTATTTCCCTCATCTCATTTTCCATACCTGAGATTTGCAGATTTTCAGAGCTTCCTTGTATAAATTGATAGAGATATCTTGTTACAGGAGAAGTGAGTGGCAGTTATTTTATGACAGTATTGATTCAGATATGATCCTTTTGCCTACAAACATACAAATACTTTAAATTAAAATATTTTTCTCATGACAGGTATAACATCACTTCCTGTCCCAGTGGTCCAATGCCCTGCCCTCACAACTCCTGGACAGGGCACAATGTCGTGCCAACACCACCTGGGAAGCTTTGGTCCAAACACCGCTTGTTACTTTGGGTGCAAAACCGGATTTACACTCAGAGGAGCCAACTGGCTCCGCTGCAGGGCTTCAGGACAATGGACAGCAGTGACTCCCACGTGCAGAGGTAAGTAGTTAGGAGCAGGGAATTCTGGAGTTATCTTCCTGCTAGTTCTTGAGTTAGTCATTGTATGTATTTTCCTGTTTAAATTCCACCCAGCCCTGACAACCACTGCAAGCACCCAGTTCTCCCTGAAATCCACAACAATCCCAAGCCAAAGAAACGTATACCAACTGTTTCAACTTTGCCCTGTCCCAAACCCCTGCCAAGTACCATGGTACTTACGTTTACATATATCAGAGCTAAAGGTGTACAAATGTAAAACCCAGCCTATTGAACTGTCAAGTCTAAATTGTGACGTTATTAACTAGGTGACAGTATAAGTCTACAGTATTTTCTTTGTGATTGGATCGAAGATGTTAGCCCTGAATGACATGTCTTAAGGATTTACCACACTATTCACAGATCATGGAGTCCCCAATCCTCTTTGTCTTGATATCTCCCAAAAAGCACAGCATTGGGCTTTACAAATGTCATGGCTGTTCTATCACACTTAATTTGAATTAAATCAGATTTCCTAAGTTTCATTTGCTATTCACTACTTACAGAGAATAATCTAAAGTTATCTTTAAAAAAATTGTTTAAAGAGAATTGCAGTCTCTCCTTCTTCCAGACTTCTAGTGTCCAGCTGTGGGGAATGCTAAATAAGTATTTTGTTAATCACATGCTCGAATGGCTGGTTACTCACAATGCATCAATAATAACACATAGATATAGATTCAATAGTGTTTTTTAAGGGCAAATTTTGTAAAGAGACTTTTTGGAGGCAAGACTAGTGTATTTGTTGATACTTATTATATGATATCATGGGCCGTCCTTGTTCTCTGGCTAGCATTATTTCAGTGGATGCTTTGGCGAGGTATTATTTTAAGAGCTGCTGTGTGTGACTCTTGGGTGTGGCTGACCTCCATCACGACATTTCACATCTACTCCATCAACTGACAATCCCAGTTGAACCCCAGTTGAGTTCAAAGCAAATCTCTATCCTCCCAAAGGCACATCTGTTTCCCATGAATTCTTTATTCTCCCTCACAGCTGTCAAATGCTCAGAATTGCACATGGACACAGCAGTAGCCATGAACTGTACCAATCCCTGGGGAAACTTTAGCTACGGATCAACCTGTGCCTTCCAGTGCCCAGAGGGGCAGTCACTGAATGGCTCTGTGAGGACAACCTGCCGAGAGGATGGCCGCTGGTCAGATGCCATGCCAACCTGCCAAGGTACAGTTTTTAAACACGGTCTAGAACACCAGCTTGATTCGGAAAACAGAATCCCTGTTTCTTTCCTGCACATTTTTCATGGTAGAATGTCTTCCCTTTGCTGTCCCCCCCCCCCTTGTTTGATGAATGCTTTACAATGAGCCACAGGGGATCCCTTGACTTTAGACAGAGCCCTCGGGATGAAGCTGCTACCTGTGTGGATCCCTGCCATTCCTTGTCATTGTTTAGACTTGTGATATTAATTTTCCCTCTTCTTGTAACCTCTGCTTAACGCACATTGACACTTCTTTTACACAGGGTCCTAGTTTGTTATCGCTGGCCTTTATGTACCATTCACCTCTGAAAACACCTTGATTCTTAATTATACTCCATCCGTTCACTCCTCATTTCTCAGTCCCACCTCTCCTCACTTTCTTTAGCCGTTAAGACTATTTCTGTTACATATCCACATCTTCAACTGAAAAGGAGAAATTACCCAAACATTTATTTCGTTTACCCAAATACCATGCACAGGCTTTTTGTATCTGCTAATGAATTCTTTTCGGGGGATCTTTATCTTGTCTACTTTAGAAATCACAAGTTTTGACCTAAATTAATCCAAGTGCGTAAGTCTTAGGATGCAGTCAGGCCCTGCTTCCTGCTCTGCTGCAGTGGATTTCTGACTTCAAGATCTTTCCTGCCAGGTTCTTGGCACTGGTGGGGCCTTTGAGGATGCTGCTTGCAGCCTTACCCCAGCCCCTCGGATGACTCAGGAAGGACGACTAATCTGTGCACAGGACACTCACACCTTGCTTGTGTGTTTATTCTGTTAGCAGGGACACTGACGATCCAGGAAGCTCTGACTTACTTGGGTGGTGCTGTGGCTTCTACAACAGGCCTGGCAGTGGGCGGGACACTCCTGGCTCTGCTAAGAAAGCGTCTCAGAAAGAAAGGTAAATAAATACAAAGGACCCTTCTCTTTTGCTCATGATTTTGGAGTGAAGTGATAAAGTCAGTAGTTTCGGTTTAGACACAGTTTGTGAAAGAAAATAAAACTGAATTTCGTGATCTTGAGCCCTGACTGTCCATCAGAATCACCTGTAGGAATTTATGAAAATACAGAAATTCTGGATGTTTCTGTCTGTGTGTGTGCGTGCATGTGTGTATATGTATGTATATGTGTGTTGTGTGTATGTGTGTATATGTGTGTGTTGTATATGTGTATATGTGTGTATGTGTGTTGTGTGTATGTGTGTGTGTGTCTTTTGCATACTAAGCCAGTGCTGTGGCACCAACTATTATATAATTTTTCCGAAGCCTTCTCTTAAAATTCTGTTGGAGCATCTGAGGACTTCTGGAACCACCTAAGTTAATTGTAAACATGCTGTGCACCTGTCCCTCACTCACCCCATGTGATAGCCATTTGCAAATCAGCCTTCTCAGACAGCTGAACAGATAGTGAAGGTAGCTGAGGTGAGGGAAGCTATAATCCTATAGGAGAGACAATATGCACACTGATGGGTGGTAAGTCTGTAAGAACAAAAATATAGCACAGATATCACCAAAACATAGAGTAATGAACGGTTCTTAGATCAGACTGGTACATCACAAAGGCTTTCTCAAGCTTAGCTCTGCATTTAAGGGAACTGGCCAAGCTGGGGGGGGGGGGTGAAATGGAGTTCTAGCAGACAGGATTGCACAAGAAACCCAAGAGAGAGAGAGAGAGAGAGAGAGAGAGAGGCAGCCGAGAGTGTCTGAACCCACCAGACTCAGACCAGTCGGAAGGAGAAGCTGAGGTGTAAGAAGCCGCTGCTTCAGTGGACTCCTGAAAACATACGTAATAATTCTCTCCTGCAAAATGTGTGGGACTGGTGAAGCTTTAGACACAAGAATGACCAAACAGAGGAAGACTCTACCAAGGAAATTTCACCAGTCAGCTGCCAGAAAGAGACCTTGGGCTGGAGATGAAAGAAAAGGAATGCCTGGTTCTTCATACTTGCAAACATCCTTTCTCAATGTACTGTGACATGTAGCCTGCCCAGGGGCTTTCTGGCTTCACAAACATTTCGTTATAAACTAATGAGGCTCTCACTGTCCTTCCTTGTAGAAAGTAAGTAGGGCACTGAGAACCAGCTGATGCTCAAACCCAGATAACTGGATGGGTCTGTGCTAAGTTATCCCAGCCCTCCCATTCCACTGAGGCGTTCCAGAACCTAATCTCAACTGCTCACGGCTCACAATGTCCTGTGCCCTCCTCTTATCGCTCTCCACACAAAGCCACCGTTGCACGGAGCGCATTTCTTCAACACTCCTGTGCACAATCTCCTAATGATAGCAACGGGTGATTCTTGCTAAAGGGAGAGATGTGCCATATAGTTCTGAAGAATCCCTCCATGAAAGTGCCCTCCCTCAACAAATTCAAGAAGAAGGCAGAAGGGAGGGTTCTTCAGGCCTGGGCCTTAACCTCCATAATCACATTATCTCCTCCTGCTTCCCCCTCCCCAGTCTACTGACCCTGCAAACCACTGCCAAGTTATTTCTTCAGTTCTCAGACAAATTCAAGGTTATAAAAACTGCCACTGTTAGCCGCCCATTGTTCTCAAACTCTGACAAGAAATCAATCTATGAGTTGTGGGAGGGTGGCATCTCCTGGGTGCATCCCAATTTAATTTCTGGTGTTTAGTCTGTTGTCAAGTTATAGGCAGTGCTGTAGCCATGGCTAAAGATTTAACTATCAGAGTCTGTCATTTAGATTAAGACAGGAGACTCCTGATCACCTACGTTACGGGAGGGGGGAAATGAGAGCGTCCATTGTAGTGTTGTTATGAGCTGATAGAAACCCAGCACGCTAGATGAGGACCAAGGGACTAACAATCCAGGTGTAGCAATAGAGAGCCCACAGAACAAGGCTGGAGACCTCAGGGACGTGAGGTCAAGGTAGTTGGTGGTTTTGTTTTGTAGAAAAAGAGTCTTCTAGCTTTCCTCAATCGTTTCTGGCGATGGCGACCTTTCACCTCACTCTTTTCTTTTATTCTCTTTATTTCAGAGGATGGAAAATGCCCCTTGAACCCTCACAGGTAAGCTGGAAATGTTCTGCGCAAAAACAAATTTCATCAGTCTGTCTTTCTAACTTGCTATGTCAGAGGGATCACGTGTGACGCTCTCCGTTAGACATCTTCTGCTATGTCTTTCCTGTCCTGAAAAAAAGCATGCGGTAATATACGTCAGCTGCATATAGTGTTTTAAAATTCAACACACGGCGATTTTCAGGCACTGGAGCCACCCAGCCCCCCACCCTGATTTTCACTGAGTCTTTCTGAGGGCTCGATTGCTTGCTTGCTGTGTGTGCACACTTCATTACCTCAATCGGTTAAAAACAATCAATGGATACCCTCATTGTAGTATAAAAGAGAAATATGTGGCAAGTGATTCATAATAGAAGCGACATGCTAAAGCCTGAATGCTACACTAGTAAATAAACGTTTGGAGACCATTGCAAGTTTGTAAATCTCCACGACTCAGCAAAATACCATGGATTGTTTCCTGAAAAAAAAATACTGTATTAGTGTGATTCGCAGAACAATACCATCTTAAAAGATGAAAAAACCACTTAGTATTTCTGTGTGAGGCATTTAAGTTCCAGGCTGCCTTTGAGCAACACGGGATCTAGGACAATCCTTTTGTATCTTGTGTTTTGGGATATGTAACCGTTCCTGACCTCTGTCCACTACATGTCAATCCTTATCTTCAGCATGAAAATCCAAACTCTATCCCTAGGGGGCAGTACTGTCATTCTGTCAAAACCCTGTATTGGTTATCAAGGCTTTGTTATCAACTTTGTAACTCTTGTCTTCTTATCAAGAAGAGGCTGTAGCTCCTTATAGGCTAAATCTGGTTTTCTGCACAGAAAACAACAGTGTTGATGTGGCTTGGTGGTAGAACAGTCAACCAGCATGCATTGGGGCTCTGGATTCCATTCCTAATATCGTTTAAAAGTGAATGTAAAGTGCAAACCAATTTTCCCAGAGTTCTGAGTGCCACCTTGAAACTTGCTTTCCCGTTTGCTTTTGTTATTAAAATAGACAAAATTTCAGGGTAGGGGGCAATCTGTTGTTTCTAAAGATACCATGAGCTAGCTGTTGGGAGGACTAGCTTTTACTTCATGGCAGATCATCTTTGTGTTTCTGTTTCTCAGCCACCTAGGAACATATGGAGTCTTCACTAACGCTGCATACGACCCAACCCCTTAAGGTGAGTTCTCTATGGCGATAGCTTTGAAGAAAGTAGAACAGTAGGTGAAAAGGCAAGAATATCAATCTTGAATTTTCTTTATATCATATGTATTGAGTTTTAAGTGTGTATTAAAATGTTAAGCCATAATAAAACCACACTGGTAACAAGTATGTGTGACCAAGTAGGGTCAATGGAATTTACCCGGAGATTTCCATTCCTGCCCAGATGAAAGGCTCTAGCAGCATATAACCTGTTCCAGGATGTGTGAGATCTCATTGTTGGCAACCAAATGATGTTGACAGAGTGGAGTTGCCTCAAAATCCCCTGTCGTACTAGAACAGAAATCATCCGAAGCCATCTTTTCAAACAGTGCCATGAAAAGCCCCCTTTCCTGCTGGTAGTGTAGAACCTAGAAAGAGGCAACTGTCTCAGACATCAGGAGGTGAGCACGGTGAAAAATTTCTTTATCTTTTAAGGAAGGGGTCATTTAGTTAGTTTCTTTCTTTTTCAGAGACCCAGTCTCCTGATGTCTCACTCAATCTCTCAGGATTCCACACGCAGATGTCAAGATTCCTGTCAGACTTGACTCTAACTCCGCCTCCACCGCATCTGCTGTGGTTCTCTGTAAATAATTGGACAGGAACCAAGCAGAAGGACTATGTACTTTCCCACCTCTCCACCCACCTCTTCCTGCTCGGCCCCTCACCTTCCTCCAGTCACAGAAACAGGAGCAAATGTTTCTGCTGCCGTCTGTGGCTTGTTGCTACTTTGCTGTTTCTGAAAACAGGAGTTAGTCCGAGGCACTGGAGCATGTGCCTGGACAGGTGACCAGGCTCTGGAAAACGGAAGGTCTGTCTGCTTTCTCTTGGGATTGAAGAGTAGTTTAAGGAACACCTGCTTTAAGATCTCCTGGGTCTTCCATGTTTCCTATCTGTGAGGTTGTTTACACCTCTGCTGCTGAGACTTTCACAGAAACTTCAAGATGGTACTAGGGGACACAGAAGATCGGGAATAGTGCCAGGATGCCACATCTGACTGCCGACTTTCCCTCCACCAAAGCACCCAAAGCCCATTGTTTGAATGTAAAACTCCATTCCCCCAAATATCAAGTCCTTCGTGGTTTGTTCAATAAGGTCTGTGTATCTCACTTTGTCTACCACCAATGTGGTCACAGTCACAATCCTCCAAATGACAGCTGGACCTTCCAGTGAGCCCACAAGTATATGTCGTGTGTCCCCTGTCCATAGATGAAAAAAAATCAGAGAAGTAGAAAAAAAGGTCCTCTTTACATTGCTGTTCTGCAGGAAAGAACAGATACTGTTTTATATGTAATTTAATTCACATATTTAATAAATAAGTCACTGAAAATTACATATGACTTGTCTGCGATTGATGCAAACATTCAGGAGTCAAACGCTGCAGTTGCTTTGCTGAGCTGTAATGAAATCCAGTGATTGGCTTGTAGCCCGTGCGCACGTAAGCAGATGAGCAAGCTACAGCAGCAAAGCTGTCCTTAGAAGAGCTGCAGTGCTTGGGGGAAAAGAAAAGAAAGTAATTTAGAGACTTGCTGGTTTTTTCTTAGACACATTGTCAATAGCATTTAATTTGTGTGTGTGGTAAGGGTGGAGGGGAGAGAGAGAAAGAGAGAGATGGACAGACAGATGGACAGACATACAGACACTAAGCTAGGCATTATAGGACCATAGACCTCAACCATGTCTCTCGTGTCAGAATTTGCATTCTGGGAAGCCCTGGAACTGTGGATCAGGAGTGTAAGACATCGTATAGCCCCTGCTCTTGAAAAGATCGTAGTCTAGCTATGGATACAAGGGAATCTTGAAAAACTAACAAAAGGTTATCAAAAGGAGTGTATATTCTGAACAGATTAAGTTCATAAAACAGAAAAGTCTATTTGAACCAAGAATCAGAAACAATGGATGAAACCCTGACTTTAAAGAACAGGAAGGCAGAGCGGGAAGATGTGTGTGAGCATTCTTTCTAATGTAGCTATGTACGCACACGTCTGCTAATTAGCTACTTTTTGGTACAGGGTCTCACTGCGTAGCTTAGGCTGATCTCAGGCTTCAAACTCACATTCTCCTGCTTCAGTCCCTTGTGCGCTGGGATTACAGGCATGTGCCATCATGCCTGACTGGAGAAGGGGCATTCTAAACTGACAAAGGAACAGAAGCAGGAGTGGGGGGAGGGGGAGGCGCTGCTGAACCTGGATGGCACCGGATTACAATTTACTGGATGTGCTGGAAGCATAAGGCAGGAACAGAAACAGAGTTCTGGAGAACTCAGGACAAGTTGTCCTGCTCATTCAGATATAATTCTCAGCTTCTTCACCAACAGAAAAATAAAATCTAAAACAATATGCAAAGTATACTTCAAAACATGGACCCGAGATACAGGAGAACAAGCTTATAGATTGTAGCTGCCTAGGCGCTGGGGGGTCATCCAATTTACAACAGCTTGTCCCCTCCCAATAATCAGATCCAGGAAAATTACAATTGCTGTCCTTATTTTACAGATGTCAAAAGTACTCTGGAAACGTAGTTGACCCCAGACCACACAGCTACCAACTATCTCAAATGAGTTTTCTAAACTTTATTCTGTGCTACACTTAAGCTGGTGACAAACCCTTATCACGCGGTCTGTCCTAAGCGATTCAGAATGCTAACCTGTTGGTGGACTTGTCCTGAGGCTGTTTTCTGTTCCTAGTTACCAGGCAGTACCGTTTTCCAGTTGGGTCTTACTGAGGCTTGCAGAAATCGGCTGACAAGCCTAAACTTTGACCCCCACTCCCCGACTCCCCAGCCCCCTGCAGGTTAAGTGGAATTGCTGCTCCCACCTCCGGTGCAGTGGGGAAATGCTTTGTGTGGGGCGGAGACCCTTGGACACGCTCCTGAGCCACAACCTCCAGCAGGCTTGCCCTTCCTTTCCCTCTAAATTCCTTGTCTGGCATTCTAATAAATGCCTCTGACCACAGGGGGGAGTGACTTCAACAAACCCCTGCCTACACTAGGCACAGAGGGGAAGGGAGGTAGGGTGAGACAGCCACCACAGGGGACAGGGACACTCACTGCGCCCTGCAGCTTCTTAGTCCTCCAGGGAGCCAGGACAGTGAGCAGCAAGGACAGAGCACTGAGCACTGTCGGTGGTGGCAGCGCGCGGCAGGGCGAGGGCCATGCTCCTAGTCTGCCCGCGCTTCTTCCTCCTGGTGGCTCTGGGCACCCACTGGTTGGGCTGGGGCAGCCACCAGGCAGAGGCCGCGCGGCTAAGGCAGTTCTATGTGGCTGCTCAGGGGATCCTCTGGAACTACCATCCTGAGCCCACAGATCCAAGGTAACTCGGGGTGAAATCCAGGTGGGCTTCTCCAAGGAAGAAAATCCATTATAATTGCAAGGTTTAAAATTCGGGGGTGAAGGTGGGGTTGGGGAGAAGAAGGGAGAGAGAAAGAGAGAGAGACACAGAGAGACACAGAGACAGAAATGCGTGAGTGCTAATTTTGTGTCTATTAACATACTTTATGATTATGAGATGTGGAAATTTCAATGTGAGTGGTTAGCTGTGGCTTTCTTTCCAGGTACAACCCCTAATCTGTTTTCACCCACGTTGTTAGTTTAGTGTATTGATGGGTTGGAAGGACACACCTCCACAGCTCTCTTAGCCCTTCCTGCACATTACATTCCGTTCCAGCCTTTTAACAGTCTGGCTTAAAAAAAAAAATAGAACTTCTAGTTACATAATATTTATTCCTGGTAGACACAGGCTCATCTTCTAGAGAAAAAGATGTCACGATGTACTTCATTACAAGGAGATAATTTAGTGACTCTTGCCTTAATTTTGTTGCCTTACTATAAATGATTTTCAACGCCGTTTCACGGTTCACACTAGTATTTTCACTATTCCTAGACTTATTCCTGGCTACCTAATGTGGCTTCATGCTTTCTCTCACTTTGGATTACTTCCTGGAATATGGCTTATCCTGGGTATTCTGGTCTGCCCTGAATATTACTCATGTTAGTGACCATGTAAGGTGGCCATTCAAAGGCGTGTGTAACTAAGAGGGGGCTTAAATAATATTGAATCTACCTGTGAGTTGCAGAGTATATTTTGCTAACTGGAAGGCTAATGCAAAGCTTCCTGCAGTTACCCAAATCATACACTCTACTCAGTGCACGTCCACTCGTGTTTTTATTTTAAATGGTAAGCCCGGCCTTCTAATTGACTCATTTTTTCCTTTTAGTTGGCATCAAAGGTTAAGCGATTGTGAAAGATATGTTCCTCTTTTACAATTGCAAAACCAAAGCAATCAGCCAAAAAAAAAAGTAATATCTTGAAAATAATATGTAATGTTTTAGAATAAATGAATAGTCAGCCTTTGAGTTTGCTGTTATCGGAACTGGGTTTTTTGGGAAGTCATTGCATTCGGTCTTGGTATCATGCAAATAAGAAATATCACATTAAAATGATTTTAAAGATTGCATTTTCAGAGTGATAATCTAAGGTACTCCCATACTCTTAGGAAACTGCCATTAACTTAAAGAAAATACATTATTCCCAACACCAATTTTCCTGCTTAGGGGTAGAACACAGACTTGGTGACTGCGTTCAGCCTGGGGTAGGACACTGGTAGGTGTAAGTTAGAAAATACAAGGTTAGAGATGAACAAATTCAGATCAAATATACAATATGAGGTCTCTAGCTAACAATATTGCATTATGTGGTCAGGTCTTACCCTGGTAAGGAAAGAAAAATGGGTATGTTACTGGTAGGGAAATCTGCTAGAGGAAGCTCTTCCTCCAGGGTCTCCATCACTCCTGTGGAATATGTAGTTATCAAGCTCTTCTTCCAGAGTCTCCATCACTCCTGTGAAATATGTAGTTATCAAGGAGCTTGACCTTGTTGACTCTAGAAACAGAGACTGGAACGGATGCCTCCTGGGTCTGGCTAAAGTTGAGAAAATGGTTTAACCCTCCTGGATCTCAGCTGTGATGTTTATCCTATGTGTCTTCGTAGGAAATGCCTTAATCTTTCCAATGGGGGTTTTTGGTTTGTTTCCAATATGAATCTCTGAGTTTTGCCTTATTGCTGTCTCTGTTCTCCCACCTAGAAGCAGGCTCCACCAAATGGATACCAATTTACCACATCTTCTAGTCATTCAAAACCATATAATGAAAGTGGAAAATGTTTCTAAATTATATCTGATTCATTGATTGAAAAACGGTTCACCTATATACTGCTCAGCGATTTATATTTTTAATTTACACCTGAAGTTAGAGTTTGCATGATAAGCTTATCTTCTTTTATAGAAAAAAATTGATTCTGCAGAGCAGAATCAGAGAAGCATTAGCCTTGTGTTCACGGAAGCATGAATATTGGGGCAGACAATCTTTAAAAAGTCAATGATTGTCTCATTGACTTCACTTGTGATTCAAATTAATAAAACCCTGGGCTTTGGAAATATAATAAAATACTATCACTCTTATACAAAATTAGTCACATAGACACCTCTGTTTCTGGAATGGGAATAGATATTGCATATGCCTTTCAAGTTCTTTTTTTTTTGCTTTATTTCCAGTTTGAATTCTATACCTTCCTTCAAGAAAATTGTCTACAGAGAGTATGAGCCACATTTTAAGAAAGAGAAACCACGATCTAGCAACTCAGGTAAACCTGAAAAATATTTTTTTAATTATTATTATATTGGGAACCTACAGTCTAATGAATGCTAAGGAAAAAGAAAAAACCTGTACCACTGATCTATATCCCTGGTCTACATCTATATTTTTATTCTGAGACAAAGTCTCTGGAGAAGATGGTGAATCGTGATTTTTCTGTCTCAGCTACCCAACTAGCTGGGATTATAGGCCTGTGCCTCCAGATACAACCTGTATTTTTATTTTAAATATAATTTTTCATGGAAAATATTGTATTCTTTATACTTAAAATATCTACATTATGAATTGGACAGATGGCTCAGTGGCTAAAGGTAATTGCTGCCAAGCCTGAAGACCTGAGTTCCATCCCCAGGCCACACAGGGTAGAAGGAAAGAACTTAATCTCTCAAATTGGCCTCTGACCTCCACACATACACCATGATGCATGCACACAAACACACTCCAAAATAAATAACTAAATATTCATTTAGTTATCTTCTGTTATAGGATATATGATGTTTTTAGCAAACACTAGCTGTATAATATATATGCCCAGGCCCAGTGAGAATGTGGGGCTCCTTCAAATTATTGAGAATTTCATAGATGGTAAAATTTAAACCAAACTGGGATTCTTCTGAGCATGGATTAGTGTGGAATTGAGCAGGTCACATGATACATAGTCAGCTGTGTCTTTAGCCTTGGTCAATAAAGCCAAACAAAAAGTTTCAGTGTTTCACTTGGTGTTTATTCATCTAGCAAACCACAGGCGAGCACCTTCTGCTAGCTTGACGTAGAATTAGGCACTATGAGCACAAGAGTAGACAAAGTAAACTTAGACTTTTCTGGGGCTTGTGATGTAGTTGGCTAGGCACAGGTGTGTCGTAACAGAATGAATCTGTTACTGTTTCTGTCCAGCTTCCTGTACCCATTCAAAGGAGCGACATGTGTGATCCTTTGCTTTTCTAATAGCTATGGCATTTGGAGAAAACTTCTCTTCTTCTTTTTTTTCCTTTTGTGCTTCCTTAATCAAAGACTAGCTTATTGAGGGCTCGTGATCTCAACTATATAAACGTATTTCACTGGAATGACAGAGGCCATCTCCAGGGAGAGCATCTTCCAGTTGAGTCCTTTGCCATTAGTTTGCTCACCTTCCTCCAGCCTGGTAATGATGTTATCTTTCCTAGGCTCATCTTCTGCCAGCCCCCTCCATCTCCTGCTCTGCCCTGTGTCCACTGGTCTCCTTTACTCTTCAAATCTTCCTTAATTTCAGTCTTTTCCTTCAGTCAAAAAAAATCAACAACAGAATAATGTTCAGGTAAATCTCATCTAGAAAAATGAAATTATCTTTCTGTTCCTTTACTACTTCTTCTCAATGTCTCCACTCTTCTCTTCTTCTCCAAGGCTCCAAAGTTGTGGCTTTTGCAGCTACCTACCCAGGATCCGTATCCTTTAGGACACAGCTTGGATTCCTACCCTAACCTAGCTTAAGTCCCTTTTCTCCCTTCTGTATCCTCCCAGCACCCTAAATTTGCCCTTGCTTTTTAGAGATGCTGTGAAGTTTAATGAATACACAGTACTTATAATATGCTCACATGTGACAAAAGCTTAACAGAAGCTAGCTACACTATTGTTATTGTTGCTATTCCAGTTATGAATTAGGTCTCCGATAGTGCATGCATATCATAATATTGTTGATATGTCAACATAGCAATATTTTTGCTTGTTTTATATTCTTGTGCATTATAATTTGTATATTTATTTACTTTTAAATAAAGACAGTTAAGTATTTTGTTAATGACCTCAACCTAAGAATGCCACATTTGGGGCTAAAGAGGGGAGTTCTGACTCTCAGTCATCTGCCAGCTGGTGGAGACGACTGAGAGTGGACCATGTGAGCACAGTGTTAAGGAAGAACAGTACAGAAGATTCTCCAGTTCAGTGGTGAGGAGAGAGAGAGAAAGTGGCTACTGGAAAGCCAATAAAGATGCATTTGAGAACAAAAAGTGGAGAACATGAAGGTTTAGATCAAAGGTTCTCAACCTCTGGGTAGAAACACTTTGGAGGTTGAATGACCCTTTCACAGGGAGTTGCCGAAGACCATCAGAAAACACAAATGTTTACATTATGATTCATAACAGTAACAAAATTACAGTTATGAAGTCACAATGAGAATAATTTTATGGCTGGGGCTCACCACAGCATCCCAAGGTACACTAAAAGGTGGAAGCTTTGTCTTGAGGGAAGTAGAGAGACACTAAGATCATTTGGAGAGAGATGGACTCAAATTTGCACTGTAGGTACCAGTTTCAACATTGCTGTATGAGTGTGACCCAAGTACAATGCCACACATGTAGGAAAATGCCATCATAAATGCCATTGTTCCCCATGCTAACTAAAAATTAATTAAAAGTTTTGTTCTCTTCAAGTCTGGAAGCTGGATTAGAGAATAGCAAGACCAAGCACAGAGAAAATGGTAATGTGGCTTTGGTGCCAATCCAGGAAACAAGACAGCAGGGAAGCTGGGGTGGAGAAAATTAAATGGATTCCAAAGATACTTAGGAGCTAAAATCAACTAAACAGGTAGTTAATTGGATGAAGACAAAAAAAGGGGATTATAACTGACATCAAAGTTTCTGGATTGAGTAGTAGAATGTAGACTGTACTGTGTACACTGTAGAATGTGCCATTCAATAAGAAAGAAAACTGAAGAAAAGAAGGATGCTTGTTTGGGAAGATAATGAGGTCAGACTCAGTGGGCACAGAAGTTTTGCTTTTAGGTGGGAGAACTCAGCTAGATTGATACAAATATTCAGGAGACACCATGATCAGGTTACAAATGAAGCTCTGAGGGATGGGGGACACAAGATCACCCAAGGAAAATATAATGAGAGGAAGAGGCTGTAGACAGAGCTCAAAGGAGCAACAGAGTCCGAGGAATAAGCCAAGAAAGCGATAGTCACCGAAAAGCTTACGTAAGTCTTCCTAGAGAAGGCCAAGGAGAGCTGGAGGCTGAGGTTTTCTGGAATCAGAGTCAAATGGCACCAAGAGGGATTAGTTCTCATAGAGAGGGCATAAAGCCTGCTTTCTGCAGTAGTGGTAAGGTGAGAAACGATGACAGGGCTCTGGGGAGTGACTGGCAGGTGAAGAAATGGAAGCAGACAGAAAGAATAATTTTTCCTGAAATGTGGGTCTGACTGGGAAGAAGACAGGGAAGTTCTGGAGACCAATGAGAGGTTCAAGGATATTTGGGAGCAGCACAGGAATCTAATGTTTATTAATTCAGTAGAAAAGCTACCTCGGGGTGGGGATAATTGATGGATCTAGATACAGAAGAAGCAGGAAGTGCTAGCATTAAAAGCTGGTCCTGGTTCAGCCTTAAGTAGATGCTGCCCATGCTGGGAGTCCCAGGGTTGGGCATTAAGGTCATATTACAGCTCATAGTTGAGCATGTTCAATAGATTCATAAGAACTATGTAACTTGTAAGTAAACAGGAACATATTCACTAGGCCAAGAAGAGAAGGCAGGTATTCAAAGGTCTGTGGCTTTTGCCAGGTTCAAACAAATATTGATGTCATTGCTAGGCAATGTATTGTGCTGGGTGCACAGTGACAGAAAGGGCCATGGCCAGGCTGGAGACTTTTGAACTGACAGAAGGAGACAGACAGCGGTAGTTTTTCAAGAGGGAGACCACTGTGACAGACTTCCTATCTGATGTCTCTTCTAGTGAGTTCCTGAGACACAGCCTTGTTAGTTAGAAGTAGGCCTTGAAGGTTAGTGAGAACAGCCTGGATCGTGTTTAAGACCTTTTGCTTTAAACGTTAGCTTCCCGTCAGAGCCTGTGCATTGCAGAATATATTTAATGTGGAGGAACTGGGGGATTAAAACATCCCTTTTTATGCAGTCCCTTCTTAAACTCCCAAGGATGCAGAGCTGGTGAGAAAGAAAAGCCTTGGAGGACCTGGCTCAGGTCTGACTGAATGCTAGCTAGCACCGCCTAGATCTAGCCTTGTGTTATTTTACCTTCGCTGTGTTTCCTTTTCCAAACACTTGGGGTGTGGTTCTAGCAGAGCTTGAACAAGTCATGGTTCTTCAGCTCCACAGTAGCAAGAACCCAGACTTAGTTTAGTAAATGGAAAGCAGAGGAAGTTGTTTGGGGTATAGTCTAAAGGTGATATCCTAAAGAGGTTTGTGAATACCTAGTTGGGGAGGCCAGATCTAGTTTCAGGAATTCAACTTGGGCTTCAAAGTTTTGAATCTCCACATTTTTCTCATAGAGGTTATGAAATTCTTGTCCCCCAGTGAGCTTTAATTGCTTACTGTGGCTGTCTTGTGTGATGGAACTCTTTGTTCAGCTGAGAGCAGAGGATTCAATTAGCTCATCTACTGTGGTCTTTCCAATTCTTCAACTAAATGAGACTGGCTACATGCTGTACAGTCTTCCCAAGCTCCAAGGCCCATCACTCCTTCCCCTAACCTTCCTTCTCTCCCATCAAACCATCGGTGGAAAGAGCTTAGACTACATAGCTGGGATAGGAGGAAATCCTCAGCCCTGGGTCTGCTACATGCACTAAGGTATCTGAGTCACAGTTATGAAAACATCCTTTAGTTGGGTCTTAATTATTAAGAAGCAGGAAGGGAGTTGAATAAATACCCAAAACTGTCAAAATGCCCATTGAAGTCAGAGGTCTTACTGGGTCAAATAACCCAGGAAGGTTTTTCTTGGCAGCTGGCATTTGTAGCCATGTGATAGCAACAAATAACCATGCAAAAGAGCCAGGACAACAAAATACTGTGACAGTGCTGCCGGTAAATACTGGACTGTGGGCAGCCTGGACAGGTTGTGCTTCCATGGTAAGCCAGATGAAAGGTAACATTCAGAAGACAGGGTCAGCCAGTGAAGCAGAGAATGCCAGAAGTCTAAAGAGGAACCCGTCTGGACTATTCTAGGAAGGCAAGAGTCTTAACCTGCCCCCAAAGAATTAGGGAAAGATTTTTCTTGGGAGCTCCAAGACCTAGATTATAGTCTCAGCAATACCAGGGAGCCACTGACCGATCCTGGGCAAGCCAATCCCCACTCTCCATCCTTTTCTCCACACACACAGCCAGTTTTGTTAACCATCTCTAAACTGAGACATGAAGAATGTGGCCTCTATGATTCCATCCAGAATCAGAAAAACAAACAAAAAGATTCTGGCATAAAAGCAATATAAATTTCAAGATGGATGCATCCACAAAAGGAACAGGACAAGAGTGGCCAGGAAGATAGGAGTGGAGAAGGCAGGGCCAGGAAGATAGGAGCGGAGAAGGCAGGGCCAGGATGACAGTGGCTAGAAAGATAGGAGAGGAGAAGGCAGGAACAGGATGGCAATGGGTAGAAAGATAGGCAGAGAGTGAAGAGACAGGACCAGAGTAGAGAGATGGAAGCAGACCAGGGAAGGCACGGCCTCTGTTGAGCTGTGACAAATTACCACACATTTAGTGCTTTGGAAAAAAATGAATCAGCTAGATGTCCTGGCACACATCTATGATTCCTGCAGTGAGAAACAAGAACAGCAAGATCATGAGTATGACAAGGCTAGCTTGGGCTACACGACAAGACCCTGCCTCAAGACATGGAGGGTTTTTCTTCTGCTAACAGTTACAGTGGATGTGGAGAATCAGAGTAGGGTTCACTGGGTTTAAATAGAGGTGTTGGCAGAGCTCTGTCCCTTCTGGAAACCCAGAGAAGTCACTCTCTTGCCTTTTCATTAATTAGAGCTGCCTGTGTTTGTTGATATGTTTTCCCCTTCTGCCCTTTTCAGTTAGCAGAGTGGTATCTTCTAATTTCCTTCTTAAGCTTCTCTTGTGGCCCTTTAGTGTGTATCCTTGTGACTATATAAGACTTACTTGGTGACCCAGGAGAATCTTGGCCTCCCACACTTAACCATTAATTTAATCATATGTACAGTCCCTTTTATTGCAACATGGGAAGGGGACCACCACAGACACTGCCTGCCACACACACTGAACAGAATCATCACATGGTATCTTCATCCTACAGTATGTCACCATCTACCCAGCTCTCAGACAGATCCTTGTTGGCACTGTAACATTCCCTATTCCATAGCCAATACATTCTACAATGCAAAGGTTTCATCTCCAGCATATTTATCTGGCATTTTCTTTCCTGAAGACCTCCACTATGCCCCTCATCTAGCCAATGTCTCTTTCAGAGCCTTCTATCAGTTTCTACCCCAGATTATCTCCAGATCATTTCTAAGAAATAGATAGCACTTAAAATCAAAATGGGGGGGAGAAGGAAAGAGAGAGAGAGAGAGAGAGAGAGAGAGAGAGAGAGAGAGAGAGAGAGAACAAATTAAATGGAAAGCAACAGGAAAGTTAAAGAACCAAAACATGCTGGAGAGATGGCTCAGCAGCTAAGAGCACTGACTGCTCTTTCAAAGGTCCTGAGTTCAATTCCCAGCAACCACATGGTGGCTCACAACCATCTGTAACGGATCTGATGCCCTCTTCTGATGTGTTTGAAGAAAGCAACAGTGTACTCAAATAAAATAAATAATAAATAAATCTTTATAAAAATAAAAGAACCAAAAACATATTAACAGTCTGGGTCATACTGTATCCTGCATCCTGGTGAAAAATGGAAAAAGTCTCACTATTACCAGATGAAAAATAAAATTCCAAATGTTCTATCCAGCCCTGAGTGATTGGGCACAAAATGATGATGTCTTTGGTGTTTCTTTCTATGCGTTTCTTTCTTACCTACTAAGTACTTCAAGTGGCCATCGACTGCTCTTTCTCAGTACGCAGAGTTTTCTGGCGTCTCAGAACCTTTGCACTTGCTGATTTCACGTGCCCATGTCTGTGTTGCTCTGTCTTTGCTTTTCATAGAAAGCATCACTTTCTCATGAAAGTGTTTGGCAGTCCTGACCCGCTCCCCATTCACAAGCCTGGAATAGACTTCTCTATACAGCGCGCGATGGCAGCAGTTTTTCCCAACAGCTAGAGCTGCCTGTGTTTATTGATGCACAGCCCCTCCATCTTTACTCTTCTGAGTGTCATCTTCTTTGGTGTTGTTCCAGTTTATAATTAAATACCTGTGTGATTATTTGTTAGAATGTTTCTCTTAATACTGTTCATCTTGTCTCATCTACTTCTCATATGTGTGTCAACCACAGGCTAGCATCTAAGATAGTATGAATACTTAGTATCTGATGCATGCATGGATGGATGGATGGATGGATGGATGAATGGATGGATGCAAGGTGTGGGGGCTGTCTAAAGATGTGGCTTAAAACTCAGTATCTAGAGTCTGGTAGATTTAAGTTTAAACCACAGCTTTGCCTTTTGTTGTTTGTATGGTTTAGGGTCTGGGGAAAACTATCTCTCGACTCTTGTAGTTGCTTTGGGATAAGGCCAAGGCTTTGACTTTCAGTTCTTATATGATAAGCCATAATGGAGTTGAAGGGATAACAAAGATGCAAAGATCGGAAGGTGGGTCAAGTCCAAGAGAAGCAAGCCAGCATCAGGACCAGGAGGAGTGGCAACAATCATCTTGGAGCCTTTCTATGTGTTCCCCTTGCTTAGCAGCTGTGTCTTTCATGATCTTGAATATAAACAATTTTAAATGTATTCTTCCTTAGGACTTCTTGGACCTACTTTATATGCTGAAGTCGGCGACGTCATTAAAGTTCACTTTAAAAACAAAGCAGAAAAACCACTAAGTATCCATCCTCAAGGAATTAAATACAGTAAACTTTCAGAAGGTAAGATGAACTTATTATCCCTCTGACAGGAGAAAAGGTAGATCCCTTTAACATCATTGCTAAATATTCAGACTGGTATTGTTAACCATTAAAGAAAATTCTTTTCCTGAAAATTGTAATTATAAAAATTGAACCTGCTTTCAGTTTCAGAGATGAAAACAAATGATTTTAGAATCATCTAAACACTGCGATTTTGTTAGGTTCCTGTTCCTTGTAAGGTGGGTGGGAATATTACCTCATGTCGCTGAATCTCTTGATTCAGTATGTTAATCTTAAAATGGAGATAACAATACATTCTAGGATGGTTTAAGGCAGAAGGGAATCCATGTTTCTACAGTAAGTATAAACAAGACTCATCATCAGGAAGATAAATGGTGAGGCAAATGGATTCTGCTTGACCTCCATGGCTACTATGCTTCCCTTCTCTGCTTCTGCAACTCCTAGTAGGCATAAACAAACCCCACGGTAAGGCAGGGCAAGCAAACATTTTATTTTTAAAACCAGCTACTAAATAAATTAATACCTTCAGCTTTGTAGGCAATAGGATTTATGCTGTCTCGGAAAGAGAAGGTTTCAGCTGAGGAGTTACCTTCATTCAATTTGCTCGTGAGCCTATTTGTGGAGTGTTTTCTTGACTGTTAACTGATATGGGAGGTTCCAGCTCACTGTGTATGGTGCTATCCCTGGACAGTGAACCTGGGCTGTATAAAGAAAGGCAGCTGAGCAAACCAGGGCAACAGATTCGTGAGCAGAGTTCTGAGTGATCTCTGCTCTGGCTTCTGCCTTGAGTTGGCTTCCCTCCATAATGGATGTTAGCCTAAGCAAACTGCCCTCTCCAAGTTGCTTTTGGTCAGTGCTTTATCACGGCAACAGAGAAAGAAATCAAGACACGTGGCAAATTCCTGGATGAGATGAGGTGCACAGGGGTCTCTTCTGTGTTCCCCAGATTCATGCAGTGATGAGCCTACATATTGGGTTTCTAAACAAGAGTTCAGCAATGCAGAGAAAGGTAGGAGAACAACATGGCCAGATGGCCCCTTTTAAGCCCCGCTCCCAGCATGGGAGGAGGTAAAGGTTGTGGACTCTGCCCTTCAGCTCAGCTGTTTGTGGAGGGAATGGACTTTGCAACATCACTCATCCTCCTTCGATGTTTATTTGATCCTTCATTACTCAGTCAGCAAGCATTGGTGAGACAAAATTATCGAAAATGCACCCACACATCTGTTCTAGCACATGTATCACAGCATTGATCATGCGTGCCTACAGTCCTATAAGTTCAAAATAACATGGGAAATACAGATACATGGGGGGGGGACCTTCCCTAGGAAACAAGATGTAATGTTAGTACACAATTTCCCTTATGTAGAAAGAAATCTATTGTATTATGCCCCTCTGTGTTAAAATACGATATCTCCCCATCTGTGTCCAGCGATCACTGTCACCTACTGTCTACCTCTATAGTTAGACTTATTTTTGTAAGGACAAACTAGCTACATGGTGAGCCAGCTCTGTGAGAGTCTGAGTTCTTTCTCCCAGGAGTAAATGTTCACTAGACAGATAATGAGGGGCAGAGGTAAGAGGCATAGGTTTGAGAATCCATGGTTGCTGGTGGGTTGAACATGGGTTCCCCTGTTTGACAGAACACACAAACTGGCTTGTGGAAATACAATTCCTTTCTAATGGCATTTTAAGCTTTGTATCGAGTCTAGGAAGACAGCTCAGCAGGTACGAGTGCTTACTCACCAAGAATGAGGACATGAGTCGAAACTCCTGTAACTCCCATAACATTCCGTGCTTGGGGATGGAGGATATGGGGCATGGAGAAGGGAGACCTGTAAGGCTTGCTGGTCACCAGCTGAGCTTCACTAAGAAGCTTTGTCTCAAGGGACTAAGGGCAAGAGTGACCAGGTCATCAGGTGTTCTCTGGCTTCTGCCCATGCATAAGCAAGTGTACCTGCTCATGTGTGTATTCAACACACACACACACACTACTTCAAAACCCAAATTTTCTATCACTAAAATAATTTTAATCGAAATGAAATTAATTTAATTTCCAAAAAGTCTATAAGTAGCATGCATTGCACTAAGGTTAAGGTCACGAAAGCTTTCTGTGGCCCAAAGGCTTTCAGATTCTGAATGATTATTTTGAGAAAGCCTGTTTCATGATAAGTCTTAATATTGTTATTGTTCTTTCTGTCTTTCTCCTGCTCCTTCCCTCTATGTTTCTGTGCATCTCTGTCTCTCTCTGTCTCTGTCTCTCTCTGTGTGAGTACACGTGTATGTGTGTCAGCGTGTGTGTGTCTGCGTGTATATGTCTGTGTGTGTGTGTGTGTGTGTGTGTGTGTGTGTCTGTGTCTGTGTGCATGTGCGCTCTGAAGATCAGACCCAGCATCTCAAAAATGCTAGGTAAGCACTACCCCACTGAACTCCAGTCCCAGACCCGTGATATTATTCTTTCATTTGACTTATATTCTTGTATTTATTTATGGAGTTGCTTTGTACTGTACTACAAATTACTTTTAGAATTATATAAAGTGCATTAAATTATATTTAATGTGAAAATTCTATTACATTTAGCCACCTGCTAGTGAGCTAGAGTCCTAAGTTTTAAAAATCCAATAGAGATTATATTGAGCATCTAAGTGCTAAAGATTCTGTATATGAAGTTAGCCCTCTAAAAATTTTTGTAACATTCCAATTCTTAACACAATTTATTTATTTTTTTACCAAGTAGGAAACAAATTGTAATGATTAATATAAAAATTCTCATAAAGCACACAAGCTGCATTTTTCATTTAAAAAAAAAACCCTCATACGTCTATGCAGTGGAATCAAATTCATTATACAAAGCAAGCATTAATTTGCCCATTGTCTAGTTTATAGCTTGTAAATGAATGTTCTGATTCTTTGCATGCACAGAGGCATTCACTGTGTTTAATAGACAGGAGGAAAAAATTCACACAAAAATAATAACAAAAGGAGACAATGAATGAGCAGCCTAAAGGGTAACAGAACTTTACAGAACGTCACTTTTCCCCGAAGCTTGCATGCACCATTTAACATTTAAAAACATACTGGGGGCCTCTTTGAAGATAATCCATACATCACAACAGGGGTAAACTCGTTATAAAGTAGACTGGACTGAGCAAGAAAGAACTGAACAGAACTGAGTAAATACAAAAGGAGGAACGTCACGTAAGACGTTTACTCTGCCACAGGATGGACAACGACTGTGTGTCCTGTCACAACCCGTCCTGTCCATTTCTCTTCTTTTCAATTTAGAATTTTAACTTAATTTAGATTATAAAGTCAAAATAAGATGTATCAAAAAACCCACACTTCACAAATGCTTCCTCTAAATAGCTGTTTCTATTTTGTTTCATATTGTGTAGGTTACAGAATGAGAAATATAACACTTGTGTTTTATTCTAGAGGTAAAATAATGTGCGATGAAAAGAATAAAAACATTGATAAATTATCCTCTTTTTAGTGGTAACTCCGTGTACACTCATAGGATACATTCCATGTACAAATCTATATTGTTTGCTGTTTATTTCCTGGTGCCCATGATTCACCTTTTAAACAATTAAAATTACCGTTCAAGTATACAAAATGCTATCTTACATTAAAATGAGAAATGTAGTTTTTCTTTTGAACATCTATTTGTGTTGCCATAGAAACCTTTTTCAGTACCTGCACGTGTGTCACAGAATCCTGTTTCATACAGATTTTAAAACCAACTGGGGGTTAAGCTTGAGTGTGAGTCAGTAAACTTTCACAGATAAATTTGATGACATTAGGAAAATCAGTCAAACACCTAAAAGGCAATTCTTACACAGGTTCTTCTTCAGGACTGGCAGTGTAGCATGTTCTGATTATAGCCTTCGAATTGAATAGCCATGGGAAAAATCAGAGGTTGAAGCTATCACAACAACAGCGCCATCATGTGCTTTCTCCTTTGCATCTGCACCTGGTGCAGAGCCCAGGATGCTCAGGACCATGGTGAGAGTCATGGCAATCATTGTTGAACTAAACTGAAGGACTGAGGACTTATGAGAAACAAGAACACTGTATTATCTTCCCTTTGCTCAGAAATGTATTAATTGTGTCAGTGAGTATAAGCAGTTACATTGTCGCATTACCAATTTTCCTCACCTTAAAATTACTGATATGGATTTCATGTTTGTGTTTTATAAATTTCATATGTTGGAAACCTGATCCTCGATGAGACCATATTGGGGGTGGAGACTTTGGGAGGGACTCATGTCATGGAGTCACAACCTTCATGATGGGTTTTGTTCCTTAGAAATGGAACTTCGGGTGGAGCTCCTTCAGCCTCTTTGTGCCTCCTGAGAACAAGATGAAATGAGATTCCTCTGTACCAAGGAGGACCTCATGAGAGCATCCCTATGTTGAAACCCATGTCTAGCCTTCAGATAAATGAAGAATGGCTATGCTTAGATGCCACCAAGGCTAGGGGTCTCTATTACAGAAACCTAGGACCAGACCAATCTAGTCTTTCTCAGATGTGTTAGAACACAAGAGCACTAAGATATTTTTCATCTAAGCATAGGGTCAGATCTGTAATGCCCACTTCGAGAAGCTGAGATGGAAGGACTGTGATTTACAAGACAGCTCAGGATATGAAACAAGACCCAGGAAACCCTGTGTCAGGAACACAAACAGATCAGACACACTCTCTCTCTCTCTTTCTCTCTCTCTCTCTCTCTCTCTCTCTCTCTCTCTCTCTCTCTCTCTCTCTC